AGGGGGGAGGCGCTGGGCTGGGGTCCCTAGGGAGGGGGTGGAATCGCTGTAAGTCGCTGACAAAGCCCTGGCCGGGATGAGGGAGTTGGCGTTGGTGCTGTTTCTGGGAGGGGGCTGGACCCGATGACTCCTGCGGTCTGTTCCACCCCTAGGAATCTATGGTTCCCTAACTGATTTCTCTGTGGGTCACTGGCCCCGACCCCCAAAAAGTTCCCCTCCCTGACTTAAGTACTGAGCCATTCCGTGGGCAGAGGGAGCTTGGCTTGCCACCTTCAGCCATGGTGTAGTCGGGCTTTTGTTGCAGACTCGGGTCCCATCTACCAGCAGCTCCCAAAATACACCACAGACTTCTCTGGGTTTCTACAGGGCCTAGCTCAGTCGGGCTCCCTTTCTTGGTTGGCCCGTAGCCACTCCCATAAAACCCCCCTTACCAGCATAGCAAGGGCTGACGCTCTAGGCTGGGGTTTTAAATCACTGGGTGTTGGCCTAGCTTTGTTGAAGTCACTGATCAAATCCCCACTGTGAGTAACAGGAGCAAAGTTGGGCCAGGACCGAACATCTTAAATCCCACGCCCAGCCCTTGCCTCCCTCTGAAAATTAATTGGCCTTTGTTTACCTCAACGAAAGCGAGATTGGGCCCTTCGTTAGGAGCCTGTGGCGCGTGATGGGGGAAAAGTAACAGGGTTGTTCCAGGTAAGCAGCATTAATATCAGGTCCTGTAAGATGATAGAGGCAAGACAGCTCACTAAGCAATTAACTTGGCTGCGTTTCCTCAACCGAAACATTATTCCCTTCAGCTTGCTCCACCATTTAATCTTCCCTGGAAAAAGTTAACCCCAGAGCTGCGGAGGTCACGCTGCTTGAGCAAAGCTCTGTCCTCTTTAACCTAGTTAGAGATTGTGGTTAGCAACATGAAATTTACCCACAAGCCTTGGCCAGCACAAAGGCCCTGTGCAGGAGAGAAGCCCAAGGAGTTTGTGCAGAGCCTGGCACAGCGAAGCCCTGGTCTGGATTTCAGCCTTCGGGTGCTGTCGCATGCCTGTTTGTTTGCAGCACGTCCATTTCCGGGGACACAGGGGAGAGAAAAACATACCACTGGTGCCGCCTCTCCAGAGCTGTAGGCAGCAAGAGGCCTTCCTGGAAGGGAAGCTGCTTTCTTACCCGGTGTGTTAGCAAAGGGAACTCTGGGTGTTCTCAGGCAGGGGGAATACATTGCACCCGTGTCTTGGAAATTGTCCCCTAGCACGTCCCTTCCCAAAAGGGTTACAGGAGGCAGCCTTGGCCAGTGGTGAGAGTGCTGAACTGGAGTGAGGAGACCGGGGAGTTCCCTGCTCTGGGCATGGATTCCCCAATCTAGGACAGTGGGAGAACACCTCTGAAAAGTGTTGTCTGAGAGCCAGGCTAGATGATGAAAAGACGGACTTCCGAGGCTGAGACGTGTGGTCCGTGGGCCCCATCCAGAGGCTGCAGAGCTACAGGGGACCCAGCGATCAGATTTGGAGGCGTTTGTAGCTAGCTCAGTTCTGTGGCTCAAGTGAACCTAAAATGTCCAAGTAGCATCCAGTTCTGCTAGCGAGTATCTCATAGAATCACAGAGCTGGAAGAGACCTCAGGAGGTCATCAGGTCCAGCCCCCGCCCAAGGCAGGACCAATCCCGACTATCTAGTGAGATCCATTAAAGTACAACCCAGCCTCCGCTCTCTGAGCTCCAGCGAGCTGCTGTCCAAACAGGCTCCTTCCCCAGAGAGAATCCCTCTGTTATCTTGTGATTCAGCCCCTGCCAATGCGGCTGCTGCCGCCGGCGTGTGGCTGAATGGGTCGCACTGGACTCGAACATGGCGCACTGTGTTTGAGCCGCAGGAAACCCCAGCTGACTCTCCCGCCACAGAAATTTGAGACCAGGAAGCCTAATCTCATGCCGCGATCTCCAACCTTGGCTTCTGATTGGTTCGCTAGCCTGCCTCATCTCTAGTGAGTGGGGGAAGGCATGGGCAGCAGCCCTGTGAAAAAACGTTTCCCACCGTTTGGGACAGGTGGTCCCGTCCCAGGAAATCAGCTGCTGATGGCTGGGTTGCTGAGCCACGGTGCCTCCTCGGAGCTGCCCCGGATCAGCCGGGGGTTCGCTTTGAGTGACCCTTTCTCAGTCCACTGAAGCTCGCAGGCAGATAGGCGCCTGGTCTGACCTTCCTTAGGGCGTGCTGGGAGCCCCCCCCGCGCCCAGTGAGTGTCACCTCCTCGTGATTAATGCTCTCTCTGGAATTCTCCCCTCCAGGCTTCGACTGCCGCTGCGGGAACCTGTTCTGTGGCATCCACCGGTACTCCGACGTGCACGGCTGCCCCTATGATTACAAGGCGGAGGCGGCCGAGAAGATCCGCAAGGAGAACCCCATCATCGTGGCAGAGAAGATCCAGAAGTTGTGAAGGAAGCTGAGCACTTGAGCCGTGCGACTCGGCACTCCCCCTCCCCACCCTTCTTCCCAAGGTGTCTGGGATCCAGCCAGGACGGGAGGAGACTCAGCCGCCCAGCGGCTCCTTCCCCTCCTCACTTCCCCTCCTCAAAGCATCGCCCGGCTGACCTGGGTTGGGGATCCGCCCCCTGCCCCCGATGTTCCGAACTTTGGACTTGTCTTCCAGTGGAGCTGCCTGTTCCTCTAGCAGCCCCCGGCTTGGCAAACTCCCGGCAGTCTGCTGCGAGCATCCGTGAGTCACTGCAGCGCCCCGGTCTCTCCGCCCACTCACAGGTGGCGCAAGGAGTCTCGGCCGCCAGCTCCTCTCCCTCGAGGCAGAGTGTCTCACACCCAGAAAAAGGATTCTGCATTTTCAGCCCTGAATTTTCTCCCCTGCCTCGTAAGAAGCTGGTGGGGTTGGGAGGGGCTTGTTAAGCAGCGGCTGATGGTCCAGCTGAGTTGGCTCACGGCTCGCAGACACTGCAGCAAAGCGAGTTCCATCCACGAGCGAGGACCGTTAAGGAAAGACATGTAAATTCCTCTTGCCTTTCCCTAGGCTGTGTCGGATGGCTGGCTGCCCTGGCCTTGTGTTCCAGGCTGGTTGTGGGCGGCTTCCCGAGCCCCACCAGAGCCCACACGCCGGTAACCCCTCCACCCTTCCCACTCTTTACCTTCTGCCTTATCGTATGATTCTCTCTTATCAGGGTTGTGCACAAAGCCGGACCAGCAACCCCCCCCTTTGCTGCACGCATGCAAATCTCAGAGATCTCTCTCCCCCCTCCCGGCCTCGCTGATATTCAGTGAGACTCTCTCGAGTGGGTGGGTCTGGTGGGAAATCACACCGAGCTGCTGACCTCTCCCAGCCCCCTACTTGTCCCCAGGGGGTAGCCGGAGTAGTGGAGCCTCAGCTGTTGTAAATCAGCTGAATATGCCTGCTAAGGCACTTGCGCTGTTCTGTCCCATACAAGTGTCCCCTCCTCCCAAGCCGTTCCCAGATGTGCATCCAATGGGGCTGATTATGGGCACCTTTGGGTGCCAGATTGAGGTGCTGGTCCTGGCATCACGGAGGGAAACTCCCAGCATCAGGGCTCTTGACGGGATGTGAAAAGAGGGTTTGGGTTTGGGATGGGGGTGCGGGGTGAAATCCTCTCCTGTGCAGAGAGCCAGCCCCACACCTGTGCGCCACTGGAATTCGCTATCATTCTTGTGCTGAGCGGGGCTTGGCCTGTGGGCCCTGGGCCGGCTCTCCGCAGCGGTGGGAATTTCACCCAGGACACGCTGTAGCTATTGCCGCAGGAATCTGCCTTGTGGGAGCTTTCGGAGGGGAGTGTTGGGGGTGGCTCCTTCTGGTCTGTTCTCCACAAGGCCCAACAAACAGAACCAGCCGTGAGTTCTAGGAGCCGCAAACGTGACACGAGCCCCTGGAGCACAAGGCAGCTGAGATGCCTCTGCCCCGCTTCGAAACTCTCCCATGTGATCAACTTGTTTCCTTCAGCATGGACTTTCCAGGAACGGTGCGGAGAGCAGTTCAGGTCCCTGGGCCAGGCTCAGCGGCTGTACAGTGACAGTGAAATGTGCGAGGCCGTGGCCCGTTCACATCAGCTGCGAAGAAAGATTTTTAATTTTTCTACCTGGAGCCAGCCAGCTCGGTCGCTCTCTTCGTGGCCTCGCAGCGTCCCCTACCGAAGGTACCAAGGGGAAATTATTCAAGGGCTACATTCTGGGCTCACTAACCCTGGTGTAAATCCAGCGTAACAGCGGAGCTAGAGCCTGATTCACTAGTGCCTCTCGCCAGGCTCATGCTGGTGAAACTCCAGTGATCTGCCTGGCGCTCCCGCCTGAAACAAGCAACGTGTTGATGAATCTGAGCCTTGTGTGCAAATCCAGAGCAGCTCCACTGACCAGCGCAGGCCCGCTGGGCTAGCGCCGCTGGTGGGAACTGACCAGCTTACACCAGCTAAGGATTCGGCCAGGAGCCCAAATCCCTGGGCACGCTCCTGATTTCATAGCAAATTCCATCGCAAATGCTCGTTTGGGTTCCGGCAGCATTCAGGGTCTGACTCGTGCTGTAAACCAGAGCAGCAGTGTGGTCCATGCAGCCCCACCCCGGAAAGCTGGAATATCTCCGCTGGTGTCGTTCTGTGACACACGGGTGCTCCTGAGACCAGCATCTGGTGTCCCACAGCCTGGGGCCAGAGAACCGGTGTTGGCGGTTGGCTTCCTTCTGCACCACTCTTAGCCCAAGTGAGCTCTTCTGGTTGTGTGTGTAATGCAAGCCACGAGGGGGAGGCACCCGCGCTTTCTTCGAGCTCCCCCCCATCAGATACTTGCTGGCACCCGTCTTGCCTTGAGCCTACCAGCAAACCCGCTTTCTTTGCAGAGACGTTTTGATGGACAAAAAGGGCCTGCTGCCCCACGGCTGGCTTGGGCCCCTAACCTGGCCCCTTCCAGCGTGGCTCTGGAGGCCCGGAACCGTTCTCCGATCAGAGACGCTCAGTAACATTCGCGTTAAGTCGGGGAATTCTTTCCGGGGGGGAGGGGGGAGTTGGTTGTGGGTGGAAGCCCAAGCGGAGATGATCCAGCTCTGTTTCTCCACCACGCCCTCTCTTCCTAGAAAGTATGAGAGCAGATATGTAAATACTAATATATTCTAGTTTGCTTGGATGGTTTCAGTTGCTTTGTGTTACGCTGCCCCGGAGCTCTCAGGGCATTCGTGCAGCTCTGGCCGCCTGCGGTGGCTCAGCTGCTTTGCTGGCGCTCAGCTGACAACCCCAGGAATAGCTCTGTGGTAAAGGGCTTCCTTCCCCCCTTCGAGAGCCGCTGCGTGGCTGGCTCATCACGGCAGCGGGGGACAGCGCTCTGAGCTCTGCCGATGGCCGCGCTGCGGAGGGGGCCGCTTTCCCCACACGCATTGCCCCTGGTTCTTATCAGTCGGGAATTGCGTGTGGATTTCTACCCCTTCCCCTGGCAGCACCCGGCACTGGCGGCAGTCGGAGGCCTGGACACTGGGCTCCATGGCCAATTGGTCTGACCCGTGTGGCCGTTCTGTGTTTTACACCCCCACGTTGCACTGGTGTGAATGGTGGAGGAAGGGGCCGGCAGCTCGGACTCAGGCCCTGGCGTGTTCCTGTTTTATCTGTCTCAGACGATCTCGGGCTCGCCACAGGCAGTGGCGGGTTGGCCACGATAAAGCAGCATCTCGGTCCCTCGCCCTCTGCTGCCTGGTCACGTTCTTGGGCCGGCGTGTGCTGCGGCTCCCGAGTTGGTTTGAACCGAGTGAGCTGCAGCAGGGGCGCCGCCATGCCACAGACGAGCCGCTTGAGTCCATGCCCGGGGCCTGGGGTGGCCTTGTACAGCTCGCCCCATTCCTGCCTTGCCAGACCGCCTGCCGGCCCCTTTGCCGGGTGCTGCTGGGAGGTGCCCACCCTAAGAGCCGTGCGTGACGTCCCAAGGCAGCCCGGCCCCTCTGCTCTGCATGGCGCTGGGTTGGCTGGAGCACCTCAGCGTGCAGCTGCCCGAGCCTGCGCTCCATCCACTGCTCAGTGGCCATCGCAGCCTGGCCTGTCACCCGCGGGGGATGGGGGAGCAGTGATCGGTGGCAATCGCTGTGTGGGGATGAAAAGGGCCGTGGGTCGGATCCTGGCCTTGGGTGCAAGTGTCTGGCTCCTGCGGGAGGTTTGGGCCAGATCCTTAAGGCATTTGGCACCTAACGTCCATGGAAACCAATGGGAGTTAGGAGCCCCACTGCCAGTGGGGGCCTGTGTGTCTGGTCAACAAGATGGGTAATGTCCAGGGTCTCCTTCGCCCTGCCCCTGGGAGATGCTCGCTGCTGAGCCTGGGGCCGCTCTCTGGGGCTGTCCTGACCCGAGGGGAGCCCTGGCACACTGACCAGGCTGCGCAACGGCTCCTGTGTCCCGTCCCTAAGCCAGTAACCTGCCTCAAAGGCCTGGCGTTAGCGACTCGTGTGCTCAAGGCGAGTCACAATGCAGCCTCAGCCTGCAGCTGCACGGTGCCCCAGGGAGATGCCCCCCCAGCCCGGTCTCTTTCATTTTTGCGCCTCAGCCTGGGAATGTGACTGCTGCTGGACGTGCTGCAGGCCTGTTGCACGTCGGGTGTGCCACGGTGGGAGTGCAGCACGTGTAGACACGCCCGCCCTAGCCAGCCGAGCTGGGGCTGGGAGAGCCCTCCGCGGAGCCTAGCTACGTGGGTGGACCGTGAGCCCACGCTGCCGTGGCTCCACTGCTGGTCAAAGCTGGGCTGCAGTCACACCTCTGGGTACCGGGCAGACACACCCCACGGTGCCTAGGGCTGGTCTCCACCAGATGTTCTGTTTAGGTTAGGGGTAGCCATGCCTTGATGCCTTACAACCGTGGTGTCCAGCACGCTAGCCACACGGGGCTCTTTGGCCAGTAGTGTGTGGCTGGCTGGCTCTAGCAGTAGCCACTGTGTTATTTACATTTTCAGAATTACGGGGCTAGTTCCCTATCGTGGCTACTGCTTCAGAACTGGCTGGACACCACGGCCTTCGAACCATCGGGTTGAGAGAGACCACGAGGGCCTGCTAGTCTAACCCCCTGCTAACATGCAGGATTCCCCGGTAAACCGGAAACGGAACCAAGTGAAGCCTCTTGAAAGTGCCTAGGGAGCTCGTCCATTCTATGAATGGAGATATACCTATCTCCTAGAACTGGAAGGGACCTTGAAATGTCGAGTCCAATCCCCTGCCTTCACAGCAGGACCAAGTACCATCCCTGACATTGGAAGGGGAAAGACAGGAGTCCCTCTGGCAAGTCCCCTAGCCCACCGATACACGGACTCCTCGTGGTTGGTCCTTCTAAACGGGTTCTTAGTTCAGTCTGCCTGCTGCCTGGGCCCAGGTCTGTTCACACTGCTGTGGTACGAGGGACATGCTCTTCTGTGCATCTCGCAAAAAGCTGAAACCGTATAAGCCAAAGTTGGTATGAAATGCTGAACAGGCACCTCTGGGTTTTCATTTCCCCTCCCGGGAGACCAGTGATCTCATCATCAAGCTTTAAGCGGGGGGGGGGGGGGATATACTCCAGCTTAGCTCCAGGGTGTGGGTTTGATTCCGGAGTCTCCGGCATGGCTGTGCCGTTCAGTCTGGGAGGCCGTAATGGTCCCTTCTGGCCTTAAAATCGAATTGAGCAACTTACGAGAGTCGCTTCATCTTCTCCCCTCGGGAAAGGATGCCAGAGAGCCTCGTATAGGGGCCCGATCGTGGGAAATGCGGAAGTCCAGGGTGCTCAGCACCTCATGAGGCCAGGGCTTGTGTTAGTACTTTCTGAGAATAACCCTTTCATATACCGTAGGCCTGAGAGCCCTGGGCTTTGGGTTGTGTCTGCCACTTAGGGACAACAGGGACCTTTCTGCCACAGCCTCTCCAGCTGTAAAAGGGGGCAAGGGGTGGAGTGGTGCAGGGCCAGGGATAATTCGTTACTGACTGTGAATTCAACCCCCCCTTCTCGGTTTTACGGGCAGTTAACTCCCATCAGCCACGCTGCTGTTTGAAGGCAGGAGGTAAGAGGTCTGGATCCCGCTGTGCTGTTCTGATCTCTGCCCTACTCCGGCCCATTGACGTCAGCCTGTCCCTGGGCCCAGTGTCCTGGCACACCCCTTGCTTAGTGAAGCTGGCTGGGAGAGGGATGGGGAATGGTCCCTGGGGGGGGGGGGGCGAAGAGGAAAAGGCTTTGCTAGCGCACAGCAGGGATGAGCTAAAGCGGAGCAGAAGCAGGAGTGGAGCAGCTTTGGCGTCTCCGCTGGCCCTAAGGCGGCCCACCACCCGCCAGGCACCATCCAGCCATTCGTTGAAGAGCTTCAGCACTTGGCGATTGGCAGCAGGACTTTGAACCGCGCTGGGAGGCGCTGCTGTGGGCTTGGTGCTGGGCTGCTCGGATCTGGCTGAGTTCCAGGCTGTCCAAACGCTCTCAGGAGAGCTTGCTGCTAAAACAGCTGGTGGGCTGGTGGGCCGTCCGCTCTGCGCGGGGCTTCTGGCCGTGGGGCATGTGGAAGCAGGAAAGCCCCGGGAGGGGGACACAGGCCAGAACGTGAAATTCTCTTGCCCAGGTTGAACGGGCTCAGACTCGATCCAAACGATGCCTCCTTGACACGGCTGGCCCTCAAACCGCTTTTTGGCCTATGGGAGGGAGCTGGAATTCGAGGAGTTCAGGGCTCACCTGTTCAATCTCCTCTCCACTCCCTGGGCTCGTTTTCCGAATCCCTGCCAGCATCACAGACCCCCTCTGCAGCCTCGTTCTCCCCGGGCAGAAGCTGGTCTGATGCCTCAGCTACCTCTGGTGGGAAGGGAGGAGGCTGGAGGTGGGGGCTGAGATGCATGGGAGAGCCACATCCTGTGTGTTAATCCTCCACCGCTGTGTGGTTTGTTTCAGCTGATGCTCTACAGAGAGGGCTCCCTCCTTATCCCTCTAGCTTTAAAGCTGGGGAAGCTGATGCCCAGGGAGGAGATGGGGTAGCCCCCCCCCCCCCCGCACGAGA